ACAGGAAGATTTGTGATCCTGGACTGACTTCCTTTGAGCCCGAGGCCCTTGGAAATCTGGTGGAAGGACATGACTTCCATCGCTTTTACTTTGAGAATGGTGAGTTAAACAATCAGAAAATATAAAGGTATACCAAAGAATAAACACTTGTATGTCATTGAAAACATTCTCTCAGTAATTACTTTTACCATATTAGCTTTATTTAATTTCTCAGTAGCCTTGGCAATTTATCTGATTACCTGTTTGTCAATTGCTTTTGGCTGTATTGTTTCTCATACCTTTTTTCCCCATTGTTGTTGCTAATTCCTTTAAATTAGTCCTTTGTCACTTTGTCCATCTCAGGTATTTCTAATGTAGTGCTTTGTTCAAAGACTATTGAAAAATAAGCAAAGCAAAACCGGTATAAAGAGCTAAAGCACTTTACTTAAGATTCCCTAAATCATTTCCTTGTTCTTCTTCAGTGTTATCATTATTTTGGATCTCAGTGATTCTTGAGTTCCATAACTTAAAGGCCACTCATTTTGGAGAAGGCAAAAAAAGTTTAGCAGTGAACATTTAGGCAGCGTAAGCTGAAAAGTGTTCAAAGTATGTGAGAAAATATATGCTCTTTGGTTTTTTACCAGAGAACTAAAAAAACTAATTCACATGCCGTGCGACTCAGAGTTTTCTCCAAGTGGTTCAAGCGCCAGGAAGGCCTGTGTCCCAATGATATACCCAAGTTTGTTGTAATTTAGCTGGCCAAATGTGCTTGCTTACATTGGCCAATGGTCAATCTGTTGCACAATTTAATTGCTACAGTGTTTTGTCTGGGGGGGTTCAAATAAAGTTGATGAGCAAAACATTACTTGAAAGACTCCCAAATCACTGTAGCAATACCAGAGCAAAAAGATTACTCACTAAAACAGATAAATCAGTGCAGACTGCATCTGTCTTCATTTTTTATTTTGTGAAGGAAAAAAATGAGGGTCCTCAACACGGTAAATGAGGTTATGTGATTTATGGAGAGTATAAATAGTACATGTGTGTGTTTGCCTTGAACTGTGTGCTAAATATCAATACTCGGTCCGATACGTTTACAGCGAGTGTTTGCGAGTACACTACAAGGACGAGGTTTAACCTTGGAGCAGAAACTCACTAATGAATAATGACTGCCATAAATGGCAGAATGTCCTCAGTCTGGGTAAAAATAGTTCTGGTAAACCAGTTATGTCCCAGAAACCTCAATCACTCGGAAGCCTGTGCTTGTCTACTGTCCAACGTCAACATATGGAGACCCCGGTCCAGCATATCAATTAGAACAGGAATCGAATTTCGAATTCTCATACAGTCGTATATGGTTTTCTTTTAAAGTGTCCAACAAAGAATGACAGTTTCGCATCCACAGTTTTGAACTCAATCTGTTCCCTTTGCAGCACTGTCCAAAGGGAATAAGCCAGTCCACACCATCCTGTTAAACCCACACGTGCACCTTATTGGGGAAAACGCAGCGTGTATTGCTTATATTCGGCTCACCCAGTACATGGATGGTGGCGGAATGCCCCGCACCATGCAGTCCGAAGAGACCCGCGTGTGGCACCGTCGTGATGGAAAGTGGCAGAACATTCACTTCCATCGCTCAGGCTCCCCCAGCATTCCATCCCAGTAAGTACACTGAGGAAAAAAACAGCAAAAAAACTAACAATAACACTTGACTTTGGGGTCTTGACACACAACACTTGACACACCCTTTAATTAATTTAAATATTTATGAAGCTCAGCAAGTGATGCAGTTTGCTTCTTTGAAGGATCACATTTATGTTTTTATGCAAGTTGCTATAAAATGTAATGTATGCAACTTTGGTACAATATACAGGCAAAATGTATTTACTTTTTTCCTGTACAAGACTTATTTTAGTTTTGGACTGGTACTTCTTAATTATAAGAGGTGTCTGGATGCATTGACAAGGACAGGCTATAATGTTTGCTGGGGTAGGACCTCTATGGTTTTGGTGGGTTGTCAGAAGGGATTTCAGCTTTAAATGCTCTAATTAAAGAGCTATAGAGTATTACATATACAGTATATAGAGCGTCTCACTCTGTCTCACAATCCATTTAGACACGAGGCATCCTCAAACAAAGGGAAGTTTGATATTAAAATGTTTATGAGGGCTTAATGAGCTAATAACTTACTAGTTATGGTAACAGAGATGCTGCATGAATCAAATTCACGTTTCTTTTCTTCAACCACTCTCCAGACACCTGTTATTTAAAACCATACTTTGAATTTCTAGATATTTCATACAGTCACTTTGCTTAATTTATATCTAATACCTTCAGAGAGGCTGGCAATATCACCTGTATGAATGTTTGGACACAAGATTAATTTACGATCAACATCTATAGTCAACATCATTAGTTTCTATACCTGTCAGTGGGTTAAATATTATGGCTATATGAATACGGTTGTATGAATACACAAGTCTCATTTCTTGATATTTGATATATCACAGAAAACATTTTTACACTCCGTGCATCCTGTTATGTTCATTAAAATGTTTCTTCCCTTTGTTCTTTTTTTGACAGTTAATGGAATATCATTGTGTGGTTAAAAAAAACAAAGAAAAAGAAAAAAAAAGAAATCCCTTCAGCATATCTAGTGGAGCAGTCAACTAGCCAACCCATGACTGCTCTGTAGACCTTTGACCCTTCTATAAGGATATGACGTCGCACAGGACACAAGTATTATTACATTTTACTGTTATGGCATTTTATGACTGGACATCATTCAAAACCACCGTCGGGTGGCCGCACACCGTATTTGGACATAATGAAACAAGCATATTGAGAACCTTTTTTTGTTTGTTTGTTTTTTAAGATGTTTTGGTATGCATTTTAAATATGAAATAGAGATGTTTAAAAATCTATTACTGTAACCTCTCCCAAAAATAAGTTCTGTATTTTTATGTGTATTTATGTGTGTGCAATTCAAAAATATTTGGAAGATCAGAATGTTAAAAATTGAGCTTGCTTTAGTTTTGGTGATGTATATACATTGTGATTGTTGATTAAAAACAAAATAAAAACAAACACTGAAATTGCTATTCTTGCTATCAGAGGACTTAAGAGTTTACGTAAAATCCAGTTAATGAGCTACATTTATGTTTGCTATGAATCAAGTCATACTGTTGAAATGGTCAGATTTAAAACTATAGTACTAATTTAACTGTAAAGAAAAGCAAATCAGCTTACACTTTGCATTGAGATATGTTTGCCTTTATATCAGTGAAATAAGAAATAAGAGAATGTAGCATATATGTAACATACGAAAACTCAAGACTATTGTGTAGTGCATGGTGGGGGGAGGGGATGTTACCGTGAGTAAGTTCATATGAAAACTATATTATCTTCTGTTTAATTTGTCAAGCACTGATTTGTTTGCATTTGTTATTGTTGTGCATCAGTCCTCTCCCAAATGTTTCTGATGTCCTCCAGTATCATGGAGCTGTTGTCAAATCCATAGCACCGTTATGGTTACCATCCAGCGTAATCGAAACCTCATTGTAAAAACAAGAGGAGAAATAAAATACTGGTTGCCGAAGCACCCCTTGAATTTTGTATAAAACTGGGAAAAAAAGAGCTCGTTTTTCATAATGTTTGTACTTGTATTGTATGACTGTATGTGGGGTTTTTGTTGTCATTCTATTGTTGTCATACCACTGTTGCTTTGCTAATTACATAGAAAGTTCGGATACAGAAGATGGAGCGAACGCTATGGAGTCTCCATCTTCATCGTGTCAAGTGAAAGCTTGAGAGCATGGCAAAAGCTTTAGACTGTTAATTGTTACAGTCAGGAGAGTTGGACGGTAAAATTGTTCGGATGTCTTCCTTGTCGACGAGTGCTAGCCAGTGGTCCAACCATGGCAGGACTAAGACTAAGTCTCTGTTGTCCCCACTGTTTGCTATTTCCAATTGGTTTGCCTCTTCTTTTTTTTAAGGGGAAAATGTGGTAAATGTTTCTTTTGACAAAAAGTATGATGTCAATGCAATGCACCACTCCTTATATGGTGTGTACCTGTTGCCAGCATGGCAATGGATGGCTTAACATGTTTAAGAAATAAATATATCAGCTAAAAGGTGTGATAAAGTACGAGTTTGAATTTGGCTTGAGTGTATGTTTGATTTGCTTTCCTCTCATGTGCAGGACAGAATCGAATAATTGGAGTGCCACAAATATATAAAAAAACATGTCAAAGGATTGAAACATAAAAGAGAAAGCTAGAAAAATACAAGGTAAAAAATGCTGTTAAAAATGTTTTGTAACATAATTCTCAAAATTGATCTTTATTGTCTCATTTCGTCCTGACATTTTTTCTTTTTCTTTTTTAAATTTCTTTATTGCTATTGTTTTGATCTCTCAGTAGCATTTGTTATCTCAGTTGTAATTTTTATTTTGTGGTTGCTTTTGCCTTTGTTATTTCTCATTTGCTTTAGCGTTTTTCAGATTTAGGTATTGTTTTTGCTGTTGCTTCTTTACTTTTGCATATTTGTTTGTTGATTAAACCTTTCAGTTGTCTTTGCTTTTTCCTGCTGTGCAAGCTCCTAAAGGATAACAAAAGCAAAAGCAATAAAAAAAAAATCCAAAGCATGATGCAAAAATAAGAGGAACAAAATAGTAAAATCAAGTTAAGTTATATATGAAAATAAATATAAAGACTTCCTGAATTTTCTGTCTCTACCTTTCCATATTTTCATACATCTATCTATACACACATGCACACAAACACATACATATATGTGTGTGTATATGGTAATGTCATTTTGACATGTTGAAGACTAAATTTAAGTGAAGCATAATTACTCGGCCCACTTCCCTTACATTAGTAGATTTACTAAAAGCCCATAAATGGATTGTATAATAACACCCACTCCTTAACCAAGTAAACTTTTGATGACATTTCTTCACCAACTTTTTAAACATCTCCTTCGGCTCGCATTTGCAACATTATGAGATGGCTGGTTATGCTGACTTGGTAGTCAGTGTTTGTTAAGGCAGTCTAATTTGGAATTAAAAGGATGATACTTCCTACTTAAACCATGGATATTGATTGAATGACTATATTTTGAGCACTAATCCAATATTTCCACTGGTTTGTAATGAGATAAACACTATTACAGAAAGTATACTGTTGTCCAGCAGAGGGCAGCATACGTTCTGCATTTTCCTGGAATCTTTGACACATGACCTCAATTTTAAGATGTAAATCTTGAACATTTTATCGCATTTAATCTGTTTCATGTGCATGAAAAAATTCAATATTCAATTTAATTCATTTGAATATTTTTATTCTCTATCAGCCATAGATACAATGCAGCCATTTTATTTTTGTCTTTTTGATACAATAATACATGCCCCGTAGGTATTTATATATGCGTTGTATATGTATATAACTGTAATCACAGAAAAAGGGATGCCGATTCTTTAAATTAAAGCATACCGGTCACAGTGAACTTTCACTTATTTGCATTTTACATTTCTCTAAATCACAAAGTAAACCGTGATAGTGAAGTAAATACATGTTGCAGGTACATACATTAGCAATGGTCAGAGGTGTACATAATCGTGTATTTAAGCTCCAAACCTGCCTATCTGGTGCTACTATGTCTATCTACTGTACCTGTGCACAGAAAGCAAGGAGGCGTTCCCATCTGACATTCAGGAGTGCAAGAGTAATTATTTGTAAAATGAACAGATACATTTTTTTTGTTAACAGAGACCAGCACACACTCACCCAGCACACACACACACGCATCCAAATTCACTCTCTAACAAATCACACACCTGGTTCGAATACTTGTGTTTGAAAAAGTTAACTAAATAGAGAATATAAAGCAATTATATAGGTGTTTAGGTCTGGTGACGTCCGAATACATTGAAAATCAAAAGATTTGATGAGTCACTGCCCAATGACGAACAGTAAATGACCCAATAAATTCACTTGTACTCTACACTTACTTGTACACTGAACTAAAATAACAAAAATAGACTCTAAAATAAGACATCTTAAAGCATATTTCCAGTCCTGTGAAGATAATACCAAAAATGTTCTTCTCAAACCAGCAGTCGGTGCAGAATTTCAACACACAAACACTCAGTGCCTACAATCCAGCCTCACTCACCCATTTCATGCCCATACAACATGAGTCAATACCAAACATTTGGAGAAAGGCAGAAAAAGATGCACACTCTCAAAAAAGACATACATAGAGGGAAAAGAAAGGCTAAAGGACAATCCACTGAACGACAAAGCAGTCAAAGCTAGGATCAAATTGCCAGATGTTGATTAGTCATGCCTGTTCTACTTCACATAAGTGATTATTAATTCCTAGCCTACAGATGTCAATAATTTTCAGATTACAGATCATATATAATACAAAGGACAAAATGCACACAGTTTCCACAAAACACAACAGCAGCAGTTAAATTCAGTGTTGATACAGTCAGATTTTCTGTTTGTGACATCTTGACCAACGGCATCAAAGAAATAAAAAAACAAAAAACAGACCAGAACTGTGAGTAAATGAGTTTCTCAGAAAAAGAAAATCTGAGTTTTGTGAGGCAGTGCAATGTGAAATACTGTCTTTCGATCTCAGCACCGACTTAAACAGCAGTAGCAATATTTTGTTGTTCTTCATCTAAAATACATTTTTAGTTAGCTAGTGTGATTTATGTTCCTTCTTTGTATGTATTTTCACTTCTATTTTTTTATTTTCATTATTTTTACCCTACACATTATCAAGACAAAACTAAGACAGTTTTCACATTCAAATTAGAGTCAATCAGGAAAACAACAGAAGGCTTTCTTTGGTCACAACAAGGCAAAACAACTTCAGAACATGAAATGAAAATGATAATTACACAGCATCTGTTAGAAAAGAAAACAGTTCTTTGTGATCAAAAAGGGAATCTTCCAGAAATAAAATGGGAAGACTGTGGTAGCTCTGAGGTGCCGAGGTACACACTGGGATTGCAAGTGGCTAATGCATAGGATTAGCGGGGACGTTCGCATGGACAGAGCCCGAGAGTTGGGGAGAGTGGAACTGGTTCTTCTACTCGCCCTCCTCCATTCCGTCCTCGTCATTGTCCTGACTTTTTCAGTGATGAAAGAGCTGGTGAAGTTGCTTCTGGAGGTCGCAGGGTTTTCTCTCTTTCGTAATGGTACCTGTTTCCCCTACAAGGACCTGCTTGTGCTGACCAGCTCCCCTCATCGCTGTTCGTCTGAAGGTCTGAGGTTTACGCGTGCGGATCCTAAAGATAGCGCAGGCACAGAGAGGGAAGACAGGACAGGTGAGAATCTTAAGAACACTGGTAATACCTATCAGGATAAAAATTCCACACAACGGAATACATTCCTTGTATTCCTCTGCTTTCGAGAGAACAATGGCGAATACCCACTCATATTATCCAGCGTTAATATGTGGTAACATTACAGTAAGTTTCTGCAGCAATTATTTGTATGAATGATGGACAATATTTCGAATTCATATGAATAATATGCATTTCTTTTTCTTTTTTCATTTTTTCAGACTCAAAATACTTCCCATTCATGTTGTTAAATTGGTCCCCTCATACATCAGAATACAAATGGAATTTCACTTCGGATAAACAAAATTTTGCTCAGTCTTTCTATTTTTTTGGCAACTCGTCTTTTTCAAATAAAATAATAACTTTGTGGCCCTGCGATGGACTGGCGGACTGTCCAGGGTGTACCCTGCCTCTCGCCCGTTGACCACTGGGATAGGCTCCAGTTCCCCCCGCGACCCCATGAGGGAATAAGCGGCATTGATAATGGATGGATGGATGGATGGATAATAACTTTGTGCTCTTGCAAATAATGCATCCAGACAAAATGTTGCATCTTGCACATATCATGTTTGTTGCATGTTAGACCTTGCATGCAGATTGGGAAGATAAAACGTTACACACGCCACAGCAAAATGAGCACATTTAAGTCAATATTAGTACATTTATCAACCTTAAAAATTCATACTCATATGTAGGCCCACACACAAGCAGGGGTGTTAAATCTATCTTATACTCAATGATACATACATATATTTGTCTTAGTATATATGTGTAAACAACTTATTAACATAATGCATTTGCAAAGCTTAATCATCACAGCTGAAGTCCTAACCCAACCCTACCCCTAGTTTTACCCTTGTTCCAATCTGGAGCTCTTAAAAAAATCAATTGGACATTATTGGGTCCACAGTTTCGGTACCCACATTTACAGTAGGGCTCTATAAGTTAGTGTTGTTTCTCATACCACTCATGCCATTGTGTAAAAAACACCCACACACACAAACCTCCTGACCACAGCTCCATCCCTTCTGACAATTTCTCTCTCTACCACAAGAGGGAGCTCTGCTCTGCTTAAACCACCCAAACTACCCAGTGTCTGACAGAAAGGGAGAGATGGCAATGATGAAATGAAAAATGGAAACATATCATAATAACCCTCTTAACACAAAGCAGAGTTACTGTGAAAATATGTGCACACTAATAAAAAAGAAGATCACTTTCAAACCATTTGACATCTAAAGTAATTTAACTTATGGTGTACTAGTAGTATTTGTGATATGATTAATATAGGAGTACCTGCTTGAAGCCTTTTTGGGCTGAAGGGAGGTCTGGGGCCAAAGATGGATTGCCCGGGGAAGATATTTTCCTTTCCCTGTCCAACAGTGATGTCTTTTCTGTGCCACTGACAGCACAAGCATCTCCTGCCTTTTGCTTTGATGGTAGGAAACCCTCACATTCCCCAAATACCTACAGCAGGTCGAAAAGTAACAGCTTGCTTTTACTGCGCTGTTCTGTCTAAAATACGATTTTGAGTCAGCGTTGATGAACACATACAGCAGTTGGCAGTTGACAGCACACATACCTCTGCGTGGTCTCCCGCACTCTTTAGGACAGTCCTCTTCACCACCGTGGAGTAGCCATCGCCCTCCGACAGAGTGACAGACCTCACTGGAGCTTCTTCTAATGACACCTCTTTATGCTCCATGCCATCCACAGAAACACACTCGCGGATGACCTTTCGAGTAACCTGGCAAAATAACAGATAAAGGTTAAATGATACATTTACTTCAAGGGCTAGGTAATCATAAATACTGAGTAATGAATGGCACTCAAACCAAGTGGGTTAGCAATCTGGCAATTCGACCAATCAGTGAAAATAGACATGCAAGACATGTATGTGTACATAAGTAGAATCTTGCTTTACCCTTTTGACAACTGTGTGTCCATTTTCATCCTTGTACCTCTCCTCTGTCACTGACTGATTGGGGAAGTCGGGCATTTCATCAGCCTGAAAGAGAGGCAGGCCGATGAACAACGATCAGAAATGCTAACTTTGGCCAGCGTGTTGTGTTAGAGTCTCCGCTCATGATTGAGAGGTAGCATTAAGAGACAAAACAGGGATTTTGGAAACCGCAAACAAATACGCAGGATTATGCTGTTAAACAAATGGACAAAGACGTGCTTGCGTCAGCCTAAAACACTTCCTTGAGCTTCAGCCATTAGTGCAACAAAGTGGCAAATTATGTTAAAAAACACACATTTTCACTCATTCACTCATTCACTCATTCTAGATTAATCAGACGCTGTCAGACAGGAAACAATGAACACCTGGCTGAGTTAAGACCTCCTTTCCTCGTTTGAGCGGAACACCGCCAACCATGCTGTATTGGATACCTTAATGACAACTTTCCTTCGTATAATTCTGGTGGTCACAAATTCATCATCTGAACTCTCTGACATTGATCCAAGTTCTGCGGCGATCTCCTGACCAAGGAACACAGATCTATTCAGATATTCTGGATGGTGATAAACCCTTTAAAAAGCACATTTTGGCAAAGCAGGCAACGAACAGAATGACATGGTGCACCTTCCAATGTGTGAGATGCGACCACAAACGTTTTCAGTGTGACACTGGAAGGTACAGCATGGTAGTCTGTAACATTCAAAAGCATCTGGAAAAGAAATCATGCCTCTATTCACAAGACGGATCCACAGCTTGCTAATTATAAAACAAGAAAGAAAAGCTCATAGCTAAAGTGATCGCCAACTAATATTGCTAGTCAACAGCAGCACAGATTCATGCTGATGATGGATGAATTTAAATCTGAAATTAAAATGAAGCGAGGGTGAGAGGGTGTTTTCGTTCCAGCTCCCCAGAGGATTAGCAGTCATTCGTCTCAGGAGAATACATGGCATTTGCTAAAAACTTGGCTTGTTTTCACTAGGCTTTGTCTTACCCGTCGGAGAGATTTTTTTGTTTCAAACACTCCAGGTAGTTGTGGAGCCTCACACAGGATGAATTCCTCATCGGATGTCTCGGAATTGTGCGGCAACTCTTCACTCCCTTTGTATGCTTCCTGAGGGGGCTCATTGACGAAGGGTGCATCTTCGTAATCTTCACTTCCAGAAGACAACAGCGCATTTTGATTCAGCTTTCGCCGCCCTTCTAGGGGGCCGAGCCGATCCCGGGTCCGGCTTCCACTTGTACTTCCTCTAGGCTCGAGTGCGTCAGGCTCGGTCTCTGAGAAATCAGACGGCCCTTGTTTGCAGTCAAAGAAAGGCTCCGGGTCGGAATATTCAAAGGTAGGGCTCTCTTTGCCACCAAGACCCGTCTCTGCGCAACTTGCAAGTGTGCGCGCAGGGATATTTTCCACAGAGGAAGTGCTGGCATCACCGAGGGGGATGTTGAACTCATCAGGGGCAGATGAAGCCACCTCCGGTTTTGACTGGACTGAGGCCGACTCAGAAACCAAACAGTCGGGGCTCAGCGGAGCCTGGACCTCACCGGGATGCTGGCCACAGGCCTCTGACGAGGGGCTCGGCTTTAGTTCCTCAAAGCTGAAACGTCCATCGCTGGTGACCGTGTCGGGAGTCAGATCCGACAGGCACTGAGAGGAAATCGTTTCGGTGGAGGGTTGGTCACATAAAACTGGATCTTGGACACTCTGTGGTGATGTCTCTTCCGTCCCAGCCTCAGACCCATTCGACTGTGCGGTTTGCTCAGATCTTTGGTGAGAGTCGCTCGTAACCTCTCGTCCATGAAGATGAGTCAGATTCTTCTCAAGTGTTTCTGTTTCAAATATTTCAACATATGAAGCATCTTTCCCAGATGGTTGGATTTCTTCACCAAGGCTTAGAGGAGATTTGGGGAATGTAAAGGCTTCGGTAGGGGATGCAGGAACATCGTCATTGATATCAAGACTGGACACGGGTGTTTTTACCACAATCGGAGTGACCACTGCATCAGCATTGCTTTCAGAAGGTTGTGACGCGCTGACTTCCACAACGTGACCGATTTCGGGGGGGCACTGACCATCAGGTGAAAGCTCTTCATACTCCGCAATATCACCAACCTCTGAGCTGTCGTCAAGGGAGTCTGACAAAGGTGTGTCGAGTGTCTCTGGTCTAAACTTCAGTCTCATCTCCTTCAGGTCTGAGAGGAGCTGGTCGAGCTGGGGGGACCCGGACTCTGGTGTTGTTGGTGTGGAGTCCGGGGGCATGATGGTGAGTTTATCTAGATCCGCTTGTCGATCTGGGGTCAAAGAACCTGGTGTAGCTAATCCACAATCTTCACTTTGACAGGGCAACCAGAGCTTTTCTTCCTTTTCCTGTGGTGAGTTTCCACGACGAGTCGATGTGATGTCAGATTGTGTTTTACTTATTTTTGAGCTTGGGGATGGTAATTCTAGTTCTGCAACAGAGAGTGTGCATAGCTCGTGTGTCAAAAGCGTTTGCTCAATTTCAAAACCCTGATTTCTTTCTAACTGAGCATTTTCCTGTTTGGGGGACAGTGAAAGATTTTTCATGGAGGATGAAGATGATACCTGAAAGAAATGATACAATGGAATGGAAAAAACAAATTACAAACAAAAATGATTTATGATGTCTCTGATGATAGAATGGAAATGAAACATGCATATTTAAAACTTATTTTGTCCTTATACTTCAATGCAACATGCATACATGTCACAGTTATTGAATGTTAACATACACAGAAAGATGGCAAATTAACTGAAAAATCTGAACTATTGATTGCGACCACATTGTGGTCAAGTGGACAAATTGTATCATTGTACGTCTTAAGATTAGTTTTGCTTCGACACCTTTCTGTGTGTTAATAACGTTCATTTAATCAATAATATAGAAGTTAAAATGCCAGTTAAAATGCTGAAAGAGGTGGTCTCATTAAGACATTCTTACCAATAACATGTTTTCAATAACAACATATTGCGATTTTGTAATTCAATAGCAGGGGTTGCATAGACACAATACAAATTCAGGATTTGAAGTGCCATAACACTGAGAATGTAGAGAATTGTTTCCGAGACGGGAAAAACTGCAATCCTGCTTAAAAGGAGGAAATGAGAAAAAAAATGCAACTCCTCCTATCTCCCGAAAGGTAAATTATAATGTTCTTACTGTTGAAAAAACAGCCAATTAATTTACACCGAATTTAACAGATAATACAAATAGTACATGTAAGGATATGAAAAAAAAGAATAAAAAAGATTACAAAATTGCACCTAGTAAAGATGATATACTTAGCACAACCAACAACGGGAGGGCACCAAATTGACTTTCTTTAACTTATTCAACAACTGAACTAAATACTGAGTGGAACTTACTATGTAGCTGCCACTGGGGCATACTCTGTACATATCCCTTGCAAGTAGAGCGTTATGTATTGACAATCCTCTTTCGTTGTGGTTAAGATATGAGTGGGAGCATGTGTTTTGTGAACAGTAGCAAGCACGGCAAACTGTGCATGTCTCTGACAACTGCATGGTTAAACTTTCCTGGCTGTTAATCTCTAATTACTCCTGTAGACTCCTGATCTTATAATTGTTTCTAAATTGTAATCGTCTTATAATAATGTTCATTAAAATGTACTTGATCATTAGTTCTCCTGTATCCTTGCAGGTCACTTTGGGTAAAAGTGTCTCATAGATGCATAAATGTAAATATAAAGAATTCAAATGTAAATATAACGCCATGTTGATATAATGTATGTATTGGGAAGCCACTTGTATCCAAAGTGAGTTACAAAAAAGAAGAATTAACATCACCATAATTTTTTGGATTACTTCACTAACAGATCACTCTGTCTGCTTCAGTGCCAACATGCCACATTATGACAATAAAGCCTTCATTTGTTATTAGTATAAGCTTAAGAAGCACCTACTGCATTCAAACTTGTATATGGCCATGATCATCTACTTTTACAGCCAACACTGCACTCACTGACAAGCAGGAGCTTTTGCTCTCTTACCGAAGCCGCAGAACTTTTTCGTTTTCTCTCTGGTGGTTTTTCTTTTTGTGTTGTTGGGGAAAAAAACTTGAACACGGGTCATCTTTAAATGTGATCAAGGTACTGTCCATTCAGGTTCACACACCAATCAAGTTTTTGTCTCAAGATTCTTTATCTGCTTGTTTGAGGACAAACAACCAGACAGCATGATGAAACCATTTCTTTTGTATCAACTGATGGCAATATGACTCAACTCAGTGTAAAATAGCCCAACAATGTGTAGTTTGATCAGATCTGGTTGAATTTTGGCAACTGTGATATCTAGGCGGAAAAGCATCATAAAAAGACTGCTAATAAATGTTTGATCTATGAGACAAAATCAGGAATTTTGCAATCTGGAAGAAATAAAAGAAGATTTCTGGTTGGGCATTGTGGCTTTTCTGTACTGAATTTCATGTTTTGAATTTTTTTTACTTGACTTCTCTAAATGACTTCTGGGACCATTGACTGAGGCTTTAAAATGTCCCTTTACCAGAGTCAGAGAGACAGGCAATTGATAAGCTAAAAAGACAAAATAATAGAAAGGAAGAGCTTTACAAAGACACTGTGTTATATTCTGTTAGATTCTCATATTTTTGCCATGGTTATATTCTTGTGACACTATAGAAAAATAATATTGTCTTAAAACCTTGCTGTCACTTTAGGAATCCATGTCAGGGATATTATCATTGAAATAACATAAAACCATAATGATTTGACAATGACTGTATAATTATACTTTTAAGCTTTTGTAATCACTTTTATGCTCACATTTGTTTGTTTGGATCCAGACTTGTTAACCCAAAACACAAGTAGATTAGCATTAGCATGAATTGCTAACCATTCTACTTATAGCTAACTATAGGCCTAATATATACAAATATAAATACTATATGTTCACAGATATAAATGAAAATCTTTAATCAGCAGTGTGTTACAATGTATGGAAATATGAATCCTTATTTTCTTTTTATTCTAGAGGCAAATTAATAAACTTGGAATCTATGTGATGTATATTTTCTGAAGGGGGGTTGATTACTCTGCTGTTTTTATCAAAATGGTAGCTTGCTAAAGAATTCAACGTATTACTGTGGTGAAATGCAACATTTTTACTGGAATTTAAAATTCTTCAAGCCTTTTTTATTGATCGGGCATCCTGTTAATCCATCGTATTATCGTGGAAGCTAACAGTCATTTTACATCCATATACATCATGTTATATTCAAGAAAGAAACATGAGGAAGTCGAAAGATAAACAGCAAAAATGTTCGTAGAGAAATAAAAAACTAAGGAGAATTGTAAAGAGGTGTGTTTTTGATGTTATTTTTTGTCAGTAATTAGATTTATTAAATTATTATCCAGCTTTACATCCTAAGTGAAATCAAATAAAAACTAAAGGACCATGATACTACTTGATTAAAAGAGGACTGTGTAGGACTGACTACTTTCTGTTTGTGTGTTAAAACAATTGACAATGGTTAAATAAGGTTTTTAAAAAGGACCAGTCATTTTGAAATGACAGTGCAAACATTTTCCTTTATACGGTGGATCATAACAATGGCAAATGAGTAATTGCTTACATGTCTTCATTGGTTGCTTCTGTGAACTCCTAGTTAAAGATGTTTGGTGTAAAAAGGAAACTGTTTCCACTGAAACTGATTCAACATTGAAAAAAGGACCACCGTGCATATGTGCTTGGACTGTGTGGGATTTATCATTTAAGTCAGAGGTAAAAAGTCTATTACAAGAAAGCAGAGGTGATGCACTTAGGGCCTGAAAACCTGAAGGAAGAGAATCTGGGGAATCTGCCCTGTTGTCATTAAACATGTCCTCCAGACAATAGTCAAAATCTTCACCATCTGACACTGAGAGCACAGATGATGTTGGCCTATCTTCACGATATTTTAGGAAATAGTTACAGTGCTGATGAGTTCTTTGTGCAAATGTCATGTGAGGAGAACAAGTCTGATGGTCCTCTGCTGCCACAGATTCTGGGGAGGAGGCTCTGAAATCTGCCAGCCAGTCATTTAAAAGTGAAAAGTCCAAATCAGAGGAAATTGATTCTGGAGACAATGCCCT